TTTAATTTAATAAATATATTATTATAAATTAAATATTAAATGCTATTAAACTTTCCTTCCAAGAGTAATTGAATCAAATTATACTTATACTCGGTTGCAATACTCCGTAAATATGGCTTCAAAGGTTCCTTTACGCTAAGCTAACGCAAAGTGCAGTAATTATTGGACTTCTCAAGATATGTTGTAATTGTTTTTAAGTTGTATAAGAGATTTAAAATTTAATTTACCCTCATAATAAATGTGCGTTCCCTATGTTATAAGATCAGTGTGAAATAGTATGAAGTTGAACAAGGAATTTGTCTAATAACCAATCAATCAAAAGAAACGAGTTTATTTGTTTAGTTCTAGACCCCTACTCCTGGAAAAAGTCGTCTTATTTTGTTCAGAATATAAATCATAATAAAAATTATCGTATAACCCATTATTGGTGCCTACCAATACTAATGTTTTTAGACTAAACCAATTACCTTGATATTATGTACATATACATGTAATATCTATATTTTATTTCATTTACTTTTGATATTATTATTATTTCAAATATTATAGTTAACGTCGTATCTGTAACTTGACAATCTCTTAAAAATGCATTTAATGAGTAAATGTATGTTGGAGTCATTTTCATAAACAAATAATTAAAAATTAAAATTTGAAAATCTAACTAAATATTATTTTTAAATGAATCTACATTTGGTTAGATAGTCAGTTATTGAGATAATGAGAGCAAAGACTATGCCGACATAAATATATAACCTCCTTTGTCTTAATCTATCAAGATAAAAAAATATCTACTATAATTATATTTGATTACAGCTAACTCTAAAATACTTTACAAAACTTCTTTTAGACAATCCATTTTCATGTCTGACCGTGTGTTTTCAACCTAATATTCCATCTACTCAGATGAAATTAATTCATGTTATTTAGTAGATAACCTATACATATATAGTGTGGTAAATGCTTTAAATAATTACGTATAGATATTGACGTCGGAAACTGGATTACGCATGCCTCATAAATACTAACTACGAGTTAATACTGGATAAAGTTGTGCATTTCCAACAAAGGAACATCTAGTATACAAAGTGAACACAGATATAACAATTAATATTATATAAATTACCTAAACATTTCAAACGTATTATATACTAGCTTTCCGTCCGCAACTTCGCCCGCGTGGAGTTCGGTTATATTGCGTTTCCAAGAGAACCTTTCAAAAGTCTGGGATAAAAACTATCCTATGTTCTTTCTCAAAGTCAACTCTATCTCTGTACAAAATTTCATTAAAATCAGTTCAGTGAATTAGGCGTGAAAGCGTAACATACAGACAGACAGACAGAGTTACTTTCGCATTTATAATATTACTAGGGATTTTAATGTATAAAAAAAGTTGCAAAATATATGTTTAGTACAAGTTTGCATCGTCACTACAAACGAGGCGTTTCCCGTTCCCCTATCAATAAAATACGTTAATACTACATATATTATGAAGATAAATGAATGACAATGTTAACGCTCCATACGTCGTCTGACTATACATAGTTAGGGTAAATGTGCAAATGTACGACCCCAGCTAAGAATTCAATTTAGGTGGCCATCATATTTCTGAGATGTCGATATTGAGTGATGAGAATCATGACATAAGTGATTTTAACGTGCATGTTGAGGGGTCTGATATGAGTATCGTTTACCTGACGAGTATTGGGATGCATCGAAGTTACATATTTCGTGTAACTAATAAATTAATTCCACTCAAGAATATGAACGTGTTTTTACAAAGCAAAGTAATCAAAATTAAATAATACAGTTAAAAATAGACTGGAGTTAATAAAAAGTAATATGATAATTGAGCATGAAATTATGTTAACACGTATTATATCAAAAATCAATATTATATTTATTTTCAATAATAGTGCATATTAAAGACTTCTTTAAACTATTTTATTAATAAATATTAACAAATTTAAAATCATTTAAACCATTTCTAAAAGAAAAAAAATATCTTTAAATAATGCAACTAAATAGAAGTAGTATAAAAAATATTCCAAGAGACGATTAATATCAAAGGCAATGTTTAAACATCGTGCGGTAACAGAATGGCATCCGACTGACTTGGCATTCCCAGCACGTACCTTCAACAGGTAGACACGAATCAGATTTAACGTCCTGCTATTTATTCAATTTATTCTTGCAAACTCTTAAACAGAGAGCTCTTTCACAGCTGGTTTTCCAAATAAGCAATACTTTCACCTTTTTAGATTAACTGGCTATATCTACTAACATATACCACATTATAAAATAACAATTATTTATTACTAGCTTTACGCCTGCAGCTTCGTCCGCGTGGAGTTCGGTTATATCGCGTTTCCAAGAGAAACTTTTAAAAGTCTGGGATAAAAAACTATCCTATGTTCTTTCTCAAGGGCCATTCTACCTCTGTACCAAATTTCATTAAAATCAGTTCAGTGGTTTAGGCATGTAAGCGTAACAGACAGACAGACAGAGTTACTTTCGCATTTATAATATTAGTAGGGATAAATTAAGCCTTTACGTTATTTTTTTACTCTAAAAATCGTTCTTAGTAAAAGTTTTGATGTTTTAGAACAAGTACAACTCAAAGAGAGTTAATAATGGATGAGATTCATAGAAACTTTAAAATACCGAACAAAATTTTCCAACTGTCTTAAGATATTGTAAATTATAAGAGAAAATTCTTAAATGCAAATACTTGGACACGGTTTCTTTTAACTGGGTTCCTACTTGAATAATCGTTGATTGGAGACTTAAATTACTGTGAACTGTACAGAAGATTGCTTCTTAACAAAGATATATTTATTATATAGTATCTTACATTAAAATGAATACTAGTTATTTCTAAAATATTTTAAAATCTTATTATTTTCGATTCGATAATTCTATTCATATTTAATTACGATAAATTCAAATGAAATTAATATTTTCTGAGGATTTACTGAGGAGTTTTTCATCGTGATCACGGTTACTGTAAAGTAGCCGAAACGTCGGGAGTATATAGTAGTTTATAGTCAAAAAAAAAAGGCGTAATAAATCCGAAAATATTAGTTTCATTTAAATGAGTACTCGCGAAAATCTTAGATCTGATTAAGATAAATTCAATCTTCTTTAAGAACTATTTCACTGGCTCTGTACATATATGTATATATTTAAAAAATTATGGACAAAAAAATCCGTAAAATTTTTCGATACAATTACGAGCAGGTATGTTAAATGTAAATTGTCACAAAGGAATCTTCTGACTCAATTTTCATTACACGGATAGCACACCTTTTTGTGAAACACATTGACCCGAACAGATAGGTACACGCGTGAGTTTTCTAGTTGAAAAAAATAAAAGCTCTTTTAATATATACCAATTTACGAAAGTACAGAATCAACTAGCCAACTTAATTAATTAAACTTTGACCCATTTACAAGTTCCAATAATCAATTTATTAAAATTCAAGATCGCTAATAGATAATCTTATTAAAGTTTAGTAGGATCGAATACTGACTTATATGTATTTACAATATGATATAGTTTTCATTTTAATATGAATTGTTCTATATATAGTGTATGTGTAGAAGTATAATTTGGATGAATTGACTCGGTACAGAAACGTCAGCGTGATTGGAAATTAAATTGTACCGCCAATCAAGTGTGCGCATGTGTTCAAATGTCCCATCGAAATTCTGTATTGATGGGCACTTACATGTGATCGATTTTATTCTGAAGGGCTATCTGTTAAAATTAATTATCAATACCCATTACATTTTAATAGATGGTTTTTGATTTGATCACTTGTATCTTCAGAGTACCTACAGACAGAATAACATTGTTTTATGTTCATTATTTAATGTTTGTTTGAATTATCAAAGAGTAGTGTATTTTGTATCATGTGTAGAATATTTTAAAATAATTTACAGTCAAACGACTGTATGTTGACATAGTTGGTATGGAATTGAGTATCGTTTAAAAATATTACTTAATTTTGAAAATGAACTCTTTAATATAAGTGCTCTAGAAATTATTATTCGAATTTCATTTAAAAAATCATCTCTTTTTTTAACTTTGTTTTAATCACAAATCATCTTCAATGTTACGTATACGATAACGACATAAAAGAATCACATTATATAATAAATGTCTAGACTTATTGAATATGCTTTTCTATATGTTAAATCTAAAACAATAAATAATGTTAGGAAAAGATTTTAAAATGATAACAGCATTCACTTTCCTGGAAAATGTTTTAAAGAAATAAACAATCCGCCGACGCCTTATAGAAAGCATATTTTGCTTTCTTATTCCCTCTGCCCGTTTTACTAACAGGGTAAAATATTTCAAACGCCCAATATTATTCAGATTTTTTGAATTTCATTGTACTGCTGAGAGACCATACTTTCTAGGAGTCTTTTATACATAAAATAAAGCTCATTTGTTGAAATATTTATTATTATGAAAGTTATTTATTACAAATGAATATATTTTTCGAAAAATAACCCGTTGTTAAGAAATTCAAGCTAGTATCGGTAAAATAATGGGTTTAAAAATATCATGTTTTAATTGTTTTAGAAAATTAAATCGAGTGACAAATAAGTTCTGAAGTTTGTCAAAGAGTATTTAATAATAAAACAAGTAAAGTGTTGGTATCAATAAAAATCAATACTTTTTGTTCGTCTAATTAAATTTCCATATTCTGTAATCGACTATATATGTTTTTCGAGATCATTCTAAATATATTTTATATGTTAAAATATGTCGTTACATTTATAACGGTTATAACTGAAATGTATAACAATTATTAAATTATAATAATAATATGATTCACAAACTAAAGTCGGTCGATGTGTACCCGTACCTTGCTTCATTATATTCATCGATTGACCCCAATTTTCTAACAATAACGAGCTTCGAAGATTGACAGACCGGGGAGATATTTACATTTTAAAGTTAAACCTATTGAAAATTTATAATTCAATACCTTAATGCCCTGATGGCTACTTTAGATTTCCTTTTGATCTTAACGGCATGTCGTCTCCTCGTTCTGGCCACAGAGCCCGCTAGCAGGGCTCCTTGAGCCTCTATGATAGTATCATCGCTGGAGTACTCTTCAATGGGCACGGGCAGGGCTGAAGGAGCGCAACGGGAGCTTCCCGCTCCCGCCAACCCCGCGCCCCAGGAGAGCATAGAACTCCTAAAAGACCTGAGCGCCTCCGTTGTACAGCCCCTCCAGCTTTGCGGCGGTCATACAACATATCGGCGCGGAACACCGAAGTCCTCCCTATTAGTCACGATGTACGATGATGTCGTATCTGAATTCAATAGCGTGACGTAAACGCTTCGCCACAAACACACAATAGAGTCCGTTTGACAAAGAATTACAAAAGCACGTGGCCGGTAATTTGGTATGCGACGGTTGTGCGCTATATATTATTATCATAGAACAAACATCGCGGTATCTGATTCGTATTAGCAGCAGCCAGATCGTCGACGCCTCTATTATATGGTGATATCACTCGCTATCACATAATTTAAGTACACCTATTGACTGGAGCACTTTGTTTTCGATGTCATAATATCGACCGCGCACATGTAACATTCAAATAATGCATATCTTCCGCAAAAAAAATCCGGTCGTTTACCTTGATGATAGATTTTTATCAGCTCACATAGTGGCTTCAGGAAAACTAGAGCAATATGATACAGACAGTACCTTGGTGTAACCTTGCTCGTAAAATATCTTCCAGTACACTATAAAGTGAGCCTTTTATATGACAATTTGGCAGATTTAGATAAGCTTCAGATAAATCGAGTTGACATTGGTTGAGCCGACATGCGTGACCTTCACACTGGAATGTATTTATATAGAATGCTATAATATTTTATATTATGGAACTCAACAATGTAAGTATTTATTTTGAGAACAGTGAAGTCAACAATTTACTATTTATTTAGGTTTTCCTGTTGTTTTAAATAGTATTGATAAATGTCTATATAATTATTATCACGTTAACATAGCACAGCTTAGATTCACAACGACTTTTTGAGTTTGTCACACAGAATATTTAGCTAAACACTTATAACACATTAAACACAGTAAACGGCACTATTCAATTTTGTGATCGAACGTGTGTTGTTGGGGGAACAAGACAGAGGACTAACCGTTTAACTAAAGGGGGTCTACAGTGCGCGCGCGCCGGCTCCGAGCGTATTCGCGCCGAAATAGAAAATGTCATTTATGTCTAACGCGCTGCTTGTCAGAACAGATGATTCTTACATTTATGATATATCATCTAATTAAAACAGAACTCGGAACTGATAGTTCAAACTATGACTGTTGATGTGACATTAATTTAAAATTTTAAAACGTAATTGTTGTTTTTATTTTAAGATGGACCAACGTTAGAAGTCGCTGTTCCTGTTATATTACAAAAGAAAGGTAATCTTCTAAAAGAATCAGTATAGGAAACTTTAATGTACACATAAAATTGCCTCACTAGACATGTGATGAGGAAAAATTTTTAAATAATTTTATATATAGCTTTTTGTTTTATATTAATTTGAATTACAAGTATTTCATATTATAAAGATTAAACGAAACAGTAAATATAACTTTTTTTAATTAAAAAATGCATGTTTAATAAAATATTTTAAAACGGTAATGTAACATTTAAATTGATGAAATATTTTTCTTGGAAATACCAATATTTTTACGTGAAATTAAAAAATTGCAAATAAATTTCAATTGAAACGTACATTTGGTTAATGAAATCATAAAATTTCATAAATGCTATAAATTGAATATTTTTATTTACTTGACTTATTTTACAACTTAAACTATAAAAGATTACTTTCTTTCACATACTTTCTAAATTAAGTATAATTAAACTTGTAAGAACAACTTAATTCAATACAAACAAATAAATTAAGAAGACATTATAAGGAAAGATCTTCAAAGTAGACACATGTGTTATCAAACGAATGGGATAAACCAATAAAACTAAACAGATTAAGTGATTCACAAACATTTTAACAAGCCTGTATATATAGACGTGAAAAAATTAAAACATTTAAATGACTATTCTTTGAACTTTATTTGTTTCAAAAAATTTATAGGAACATTCTAAGTTGTTACGTAAACAGAGATAAACAGATTGATTGTAACAGGTCCCCGGATAAAAATAAATTGGACGTACTCGAAGAACGAGACATTTTAGCAACCCGGATAGGTATTAAGACTGACGATTCACTAAACATCTGCCAAACGATGTATCTATTTATATACAGTTGTAAGCGCGTGATCTACCATTTTTAGACTTTCTATTTTAACAACAATAAATATTATCAAATATCGATAGTATACAAAATATTGATATATACATAACTATTACTTCTTCATTTTATTGATGATTAAATAACATACAATACAACGAACAGTCAAACTACATTCAAAATCATTATTTTTATTATTTTCTTCCTAAACTTGTTTCTTTATCCGTATGTAAATATTTCTATCGAAAACAATCAAAACAAAATAGAAATCTATAAAATTTATCACATTACCAAAGTTGAATTAAAATGATTTATCAGAAATCGAACGAGGCGTCCCCTAGTTGTTTTTTCTTTGTTATAAACCACGGCGAACTTTAAAAAAGCGGTTAAAAAAAATTACGATATCAAATTCCCCGAATTTCCTAACGAAGATCGTTTTAAAGGCACGCTGATAACAGAATTACAGAATGATAGAGGAAGCGTGAGCGGTTAGCGGTGGATTTTATAATTATCGTAAATTCATTCAGTCCTCACCAAAACACGACATTCTCATTACCGGCTGTCTTAATTATAACCACCCTTCATACTACATATAAATGTTGAATTCAATATTAACCCGTTCATAACAATGTTTTCATAAAATTGTCCAGGGATTCTAAATAACGCTTCCGTAATTACATAGGCTCCTGCACTGCGGCAGGACATAATTATACCTTAACTGTGATTATAAATTCACATTATTATGTACAGACCATACTTTTATAAAGAATGATATAGTAAACCTATTGATAATTCTATATAATTTAAAAAAATCGTAATTTTTTGTAAGACTTGATTGTTATAAATGCATAAAATGTTCGGACATGCATTTCTAATCATGGGTAACGATTTGTATAGCTAGTTTAGAATAGCTTCTCTGCAATGAGCATTGCGACAATGCCGGCATTGTGTCAGTGAGGCGAGGTTGCAGTGAGCTTTTAATCCAGACGTATAATAACGCTCTAGCTTGTTTCTCTAACTCTTCAAACTTACTCAGCGTTTACGAATTTGCGGTATGGAAATTGGAAATTAAATTTCACGGTAATATTTTAGTTGGGAACTTAAACGAGGACTTTTCGAACATCATTTCGGTCAGAATACCGACTGTTCGTTTTCTGTAGTGAATTTTAGTAGGACGAATTACTTACATATCTGAATTGATAATAGGATAGATGGATTCAATGTTGGGTCTGTGTTTGTAATTAGACGTATTGGGAGTCCCCGAAACGAATTCGGGACTTATTGAATATACCTAAAAAGAAGTCGGGATTCATTGAGTGTTCTTTAAGACATGCACGCTATTCAATATCTAGAAATCATTGATTCCAAGCACACAAAAGCGTTATTGGAGTCCATAGAAATATTTACCAGGACTTGTTACATATACGAGTTTGTTAATACAAATGTTTTTCTATTTACTTTTTAAAAAGTAATAAACTTAAAAAAAGGTGCCAGTGTTATTATAAAAAAAGAATTTAAAAAATCAGTCTATCCCTACTAATATTATAAATGCGAAAGTAACTCTGTATAACTGTCTGTCTGTCTGTTACGCTTTCACGCCTAAGCCACTGAACTCATTTTAATGAAATTTGGTACAGAGGTAAAATGAGCCTTGAGAAAGAACATAGGATAGTTTTTATCCGAGACTTTTCAAAGGTTCTCTTGAAAACGCGATATAACCGAACTCCACGCGGGCGAAGCTGCTGGCGGAAAGCTAGTAAAAAATAATCCTTATAAAATTATAATAACAACTTTGACGTCAAAGATATACTTTTTTATTTAATTACTGCCATGGATTTGAAGCCATAGGAAAAATATGTTACCATTGAATGCCGTCATATTCATAAGTAATAAATATGTATGCAGATAGAATGACGTATTGAAAACAATGCGTTTGTTGAAACGATTATTAAGGAATAATATGTTCTAACGCTTCTAAAAATAATAAAAAAATATATCAAAGTTTGTTATAGGAAATTTTAAAAAATATATATTTTCTATGGTAGTAACATAAATAGAAAATAAAATAGATTTGTTATAACCTTTAACATTTGTGAGAAAAAATATATACTTATTTATAGGAAGCAGTAAAATTAGATTTAATTTTGTTACCGGTTTAGTCCTGGTTAGCGTTTAGGTTAAAATTTTTCACCGTATTTTTCGCTACGTACCTAAAGATATTTTTTTCAAAATATGTAAGTATTTTTAGATTCCTGCATAACAAAGTTAGTTAATATTAACCCGTGGATAAGGTTGATAAATTACAGGCTATAAAAGTGGTAACATATAATTAAATTTACTTATAAGTGTTGACATTCTTTATCTATCCCTACTAGTATTATAAATGTGAAAGTAACTCTGTCTGTCGGTCTGTCTGTTACGGTCTGTCTGTTACGAAACTAATAGTTATCGGATATACTACGCGACTTTATTTTTGATAAAAACTACATACTCCCGACGTTTCGGTTACTTTACAGCAACCGTGATCACAGGCAGACGAGGTGTGACTCTTATAAATTTAATTTTAATTCGAACACTCAAAATAACAAATGTTAATTTTAAAGAAAAGAAAAAATATATCCAATTCAATTTATTTTTTTCATTTTTTATGAATTAATTCACAGAAAATCTAGTCGAAAACTAAGTAGACGTTATTTTTTTAGACTATAATCTTGTGTATAGTCATTGAAGTGTAGGTAATATAAATAAATGTAATAAATAAATTACAAATAAAAATTCAGCACTGAAAAATTTACCTGGTAACCTATTTCTTTCGGTACTCTTTTGTAGTCATTCAGAAAAAAAGGTCGCAGTGTACATTCTATCCTTCATTACGTATGTTTGTTTGTGACTGTTTTCTAAATGTGTTGATTTATTTCAGACTGAGTTCATTTGTATTTTCATGAAATGTTTCATATACTTTCCTTGAATTCATTTCTACTATATCAAATCGTATTTATCTTTTATATTATAGAAATCATTATTAAAACTTACATAATTAGCTATCTCAAAATAATTAAAATTTACGGAAAATAATATGAAAGTAGAATTTTTACGGATCTACAAAAACAAGGAATAATTGACCCAGGCCATAATTGAAAGTAAAAAAATCCAATGACGAAATATTAAAAAGAATTATATTAAGCAATTATATTATAAAAAAATAGATAAAACTTTCATTTACATTATTTGGCCCTTAAAATTTTGATGGCGCGTAAACAACGTTTACTGCAAGAATTTCATTATTAAATGGAATCGTCAGTATTAATAAAGATGATAATAAGACTAAGACGTAATTTATAACTCATCAAAAGCCTTAGCAATAAACAATGAATAAATGTAATAAAATTTATTAATAAGCTTCCTAATGACTTCATTATTTGTTTTACTTCCATTTATTAAATTCATACTTTCCTTTAAAAGCCGATACACATCTCGAAGAAGCTGTCCGTTACTTTAATAAATATATTCTAAACCATAAATTACCTCGAGAGATTTATAGCCATATTTTATAAACCAGTCAAGAGATAATAAATCTATGCAAAATAAGTAACACGAGAAAGAGGAGCGTTTTAACAAAAATAATTATAAATTTAACAAGATATTGTTACTGTACAGAAAATTTCAGTTAAATAATCTAAAACGCATATACAATTAGTGTATTCGATATAATCTTAAATCTTTTATCTCGTGATCACGCGGCTGTAAAGTTATAAACATCGGAAAAATTTATATACAAAACTAGCTTTCCCCCGCAGCTTCGCCCGCATGGAGCTCGGTTATATCACGTTTCCAAGAGAACCTTTCTAAAGTCTGGGATAAAAACTATCCTATGTTCTTTTTCAAGGTCAACTCTATATCTGTACCAAATTTCATTAAAATCAGTTCAGTGGTTTAGGCGTGAAAGCGTAACAAACAGACAGACAGAGTTACTTTCGCATTTATAATATTAGTAGGGATAATAACATAGCGTAATTATATACGAAATATATATATTCTCTTAGGAAGAATAAGGAATAACTTAGGTGAAGCAGATTTATAACAAAAACTACCAATGAGCTTCAGTGAAGCATAAACGCTTATATCAGCTTCTGATAGAACAACACTGGCAGACCGTGCCCTCAATAAGCTACGTCGAGTCCCCACGTGCACTCCGCAATGCACTTGACTTAGAATGACATTCTTCAAACATTTTATACGGTATACATATATAAATCTATAAAACTTCGATCGTAAAATTATGCCAAACATTCCAATGAAATATATTTATAAGTATCATAATAGATTTTTTTGTAAATTGCAACGCATTATATTTAAAAAACCTGCGTTAAAAAACAACTCTTTAAGACGAACCTAATTTCGTAACTCATAAAACATTCATACATAAAACTTTTTGTTCTTTATTATTTAACTTGGAAATTCTCGGAAATTCTCAAGTAAAGTTATTTTGTTGAATATATTATTATTTAGGCGTGATATATATTCATAGAAATAAACAAAGTTTTCTCTGTCCCTGTATATAGGACGATTTAAAAGTAATACATTTGAGTTTTATCAAATTATTTGAAATGCTTGAATGTTACGTACATATATAAACAGTGGTTTATTTAATTTAAACCGAATATCCCGTTGAACGGCAAAGCTGTTACAAGCTAAACTTCACACTTCATATGTCATACAACTAGACGACAGGTATTTGTGTACGAGTAGCTTCTAAAATCACTGCACATTCAGAAATGTCTGGGTTATTACGTGTGCGAACATTGGCTATTAAAACCGTCTACAGAGACAAGGAATGTGCATTATAAATTGATATAAAGACTAAGATGAATTTACGTTGCTATAATAAACAATCCCTACTAATATTATAAATGCGAAAGTAACTCTGTCTGTCTGTCTGTCTGTTACGCTTTCACGTCTAAACCACTGAACTGATTTTAATGAAATTTAGTACAGAGATAGAGTTGATCGTGAGAAAGAACATAGAATAGTTTTTATCGAAAACTTTTGAAAGGTTCTCTTGGAAACGCGATATAACCGAACTCCACGCGGGCGAAGCTGAGGGCGGAAATCTAGTATAAAATATTTTATATAATCATTAATGATAATCTCATTTACAGCCGTTAATCTTTTAATGGGCGCTATTCTATAAATAGGTATGACGTGTGTATTATAATAGAATACATAATGATAAATTTTTAGACTCTTATTCTCAACGTATATACATTAAAATATGTTTAGAAGTATCGAACTTGAAACGAAAATCCACTAATGACCACTTTAGTAACCATTATTGGTCACCATCTTAAAAAAGTTGCATAAAAACATCTCTTAATCATAAAACCATTACTTAGAAATTTATACAACACAAATTTAATTATCTAAGTACTTTTCAACTGACAGCCATAAAGCCTTAAATATAGAATTAAAATTTCTTAAATGACATTTATTTTAACGAATACCGTTTAAAGGGAAGATAGAATGCTAACAAAAGTGTCTGATCAAAACTTGTTAACGTCACGAATAGTTATTGCTGTTTAATTTACATAAGGCGTCGAATTATGATAATCAATGTAAATACCACATTTAAGCCATTATCCAATAAGAACAAAAGAGTGTACGATATTTATAGTACTATAATTTAATTTCTTTAAATAATTCCAAAATAATATAGAAAATAAAACTTAAATAATCGTGTATGTAAGATAATAAGACGGGGAAATAAAGCGAAAATAAAATAAAACGTTTTTATTCCATAATGACTACCTACTAACCTGGTATCTAGAGTATGTAGTACCACCGGAGCAGGTAGAGGTTCATCTGGTACTTGGTAATTAACCTGCTGAGGCACTTGATTGGTCAAAGACAGTGCTTTATAACGAGATTGTTCAGCGGTGGGCAAAACAATGTCCACTGATCGCGACCTAAGACTTGTACCCGGCACAGTCAACGAATCACCATTCTCACATAACTCCTCCGCTCTAGAACCGCCAGATAATTTTGAGAAGCAAGAATCAACTGAAGCCGCACGATCCCGCTTAAGTTCCGGAACCGCCAAATAGATATCATGAACCAAACTGTCTCTTGGTGCATTATTAGCGCCCTGTTCTGACGCACGAACGTTCTCTAGTGAGCTGCCAGTCGGTTCAACAAAAAACGCTTCCTGTCGCGATATGGAGCGCCTTCGTTGAGGAGGTCCTGGGGGTTCATCGATGGGTGGTTGCAGCTCAAAAGATGGTGCGCCTGGCGACGGTGGTGGCGACTGTAATGGCGGTGGTAGTAATGTCTTCGGTAACGGAACCGGTGCGAGTAGAACCTTTGGTATTTCCACATCACTTTCATCATCATCTTCATCATCATCCTCCGCAGAGGAAGAAGCCGGTGGTCTTTCAGGAGTAGACCTTTCTTCGCTGCGGCGAGCCAACCACGTCTCCATATGCCGACAATGGACGCATGGTGGCGGAGTACCCTTTCCGGATCGTCTCCGCGACCATAATCGAGGTACCTATAGAATAATAAACATTCATTTTAAATAAATATCAAACTGTGTAATAGAAAGTACTTCAAAAGTGAGAGTAATCTTCACTACATGCTGTTCAGAGAAGAACAATTAAAACTTTATGGTTTGTTGATGCAGAACACATTGCCTGATAAGGTAATAAAAGTGACACTTAATCCGTATACATTCGTACAATTTATACAAGCTGGATATCTTTGTTAATTCACATCGATCGAAAGAACTAAAAAACATATGTGAATAATTAAACAGCGAGTCCTTGGTCTTTACAAAAACCTAGTAATTTATATGTACAATCTATATTAAGTCTAACGAAATCAATTTAATATTCACGATAAGTAATTCAACATTTAGAAACTTTATTTAGTAATATAAATTTAACAAAATCTTGGAACGCAATTTTGTAAATATTTTACGAACTAACCTCTTCAACTGTAGCAATTTTCTCATAATATCTTTGATAATCTGGTGATTCATTATTTTTATATAAATGATATGATTAAGTTTTTTATCAAACTTTATGATACTCAATCGGAAACCTTTTCTACCTTTCGGTTGTTTCAACAATAGTTGCTGGTATATAAACCCGTCATTCCAAATATATTTTGAAATAAAGTTTAAGGGCCATTAGTAATTCTTTTGAATAATTTAGTATTTGATTGTTTAAAATGGATATTAAATAGTAATACTGGTACTTTAGACTGCTACTTAACTTTAAAATTCATAAATTAAAACATACTCCGAAATGTATACATATGTACAAAAAGGGTTTGACTAAAATCTTACTGATATTGAAATAATTATAGTTATTTAAAAGATTTTAAAACATTAATATACGTTTTAAGAATGTGCACCAATCTGTTTGTCCCGCCAATTATATGTCCGTCACTCTTCAGTTAAAGGTTTGCAGGACTTAAAAATACATATCACTCAAAAGATAAATATGAAATAAATAACCAATTACAAATTAATGTATCTTATATACGAGAAATTATAAACCAGCCTCAAAATTTTATACCATCATGATATACGCACACATTGACATAAATTGGGTCATAGGTCAAAGTATATTAAAATATATATCTATACTACATTTCAAAATAACAGTTGCTATTGAAAGGCAAGTAACCTAATCTTCCTTGGCGCCAACAATTACTTGAAACTCCTTTCAAAGAATCTCTTGGTGCACTTCGGTCAAGCGTGTGTAAACCAATTTTCTCGTTCTCGCAGACTTAAAGTTATTTAAAGCTTTAAACTTCTGTTTAACAAAGCGCCGAGGAAGTTAGTATTTGAGGAGTCTTTTGCTTGTTGAAATATTAATATGTTCAAGTTGTTTCAGTAAATTTTGAATATATTGTACGAAGTTGCACAATACGAATTACGGAATATATTATGTGGTGCTAAACGTTTTAGTAAAGAAAACATTACTGTTCTTATGTATTATTTTATTTCAAATAATTATGGTAATCCTTTGGTGCCAATATATATATTAATTTCTAAAAAAGAATACTTCGTTCGGTGACAAAGGAGCAATATTTGACCACCGAAAACCCATAGTGACGCTCCAGGTTCATCGTTATTCTTCTAATTAAATTTCTTTATGAAGAAAAGAAGAATAGGAATAAGATTGTAATAGAAGTGAACTTAGGATCATAACAGTCTAGTCTAGAAAATAAACATCGAAAATGTTCTATATACTCTACGACTTATCTTTTATAAAAGGATGGAACTACCCCGTCCTATCATAATTTAAATAATTTACCTAAATCTAAAATTATAATAACTATACAAAAAAATTAATGGTCATTAATGCTCAAATCTTCTCCATATGAGAAGAGGCCTTTGCTCAGCAGTGGGCTCTCATAGGCTGATGATAATTATACAAAAAATACAAAACTCCATAAATACTACTACTACTACACTTTTCTATCATAAATCCTAAAATCCTAACATATTTTTTACTTTTAATAACACTAAAGAAATAACATCTTCGTTTGTGATACTCGTAACTTTTTCCTTGAGTGTTTAAACCATTTTCAATATAAATTATAAATAAATCAATTGTGTCCAAATCAATGAGATTGTGTAAATGAAGTGTAACAAAATGAGTATCAACTTAAAGATAAGCAGGATCATAAATCTTTGGATTTAGGTAAATCCATGATTTTAGCTGATCTTATCTCTGTTTCTTGTCAGATGTCCTCTATTTTACGGTATAAAAACTAATTTTATGAATTTATACGGTTAGATGGGCATCTAATCTTAGTTTTATCTATAGCTTTACATGTAACAGCGTATAATCTACAATAAGTAATGTAAAAAGTCGTAATTATTACATGGAGTGAAGATACTCTCACCCTAAAATTATTTAGTTATATTCATGTGCATACCTCAAGATAAGTCCCTGAATCATCAGATCCGGCGGAGTCAAAGGAACGGCTGCGGGCTCCGTGTTGAGGAACTGATAATAGAACACTCGTACCAGATCCCCGCGCAGCCTCCAACTGGATCTCATCGAACGACGCCGACCGGACCTGGAAAAACTATTAGATTAACACCCAACAAATACTTCTAGAATCTTCCGTCTGAAATGTCCTTCTAAATGACAAAATACCCATCAAAACTGTAGCTCTAAAAAAAATCTCTAAGAATCTTTGATTTAAATGAACAAAACTATCAAGTAAAAATGTGAGTAGCTTTTTTTTTTAAGGGGAAAATCATCAAATGACCTCTCTTGCCTGGATGGGGCAAGAGGGAGTGTCAGACTCTCACTGACTAAAAACCCCCCGTACCTGCTCCTGCTCTGAGCCTGGCCGCGGTACATTATTGCGCTTACACCCGCGACCTGACCATGTGAGTAGCTTAAAGTATAAACAAAGGCGAGAAACCAATTAATCTTTTCCTATAAAGTATTATACACATGGCGTTCAATTGTTATTATTTTGATCGTCGATACAAACATGTCCATATCGATTTTATCAAAACGTATCTAATTTCATTTTTCATTCAGGAAACCCAATGTTGTGGATGAAGATCTCTGATTGTTAATCTTGTGCTTAGCTGATAGGAAATTGGAATTTTTTGTCAAAATAAGATATACGATTAGAGCAGGAATAAATCAATTCTGTTTAGTATTTATTAAAACTTATTGTATGTACCTCTACTTGAGTTTTTTAGATATTTTAATAGTATTTGTTGACTTTGAGGACAGGTTCCGGAAACTAACGGATGCAATAGACACTTGTCCCTAAATTGCGCAAGTATATGGACACATTTACTCAAATTTAAATTATGTACAATTCTCCATGTAGAAAGCTACATGGTTAAATTTATTAATTGTAAAACATCCAAGCACAGACCACACCTACTTCTATAACTTAATAGAGTTAAAACAACTGAGATGAAGTCATAAAATTTGTACCTACAGTAAATCCCTTAAAAAAATTGATACACTTAGAAAAGACATTTTTTTATGATAAAATTAATTATAAATCTTTGATGTCTTTGGATGTATCAATAAATTAGTATTTGTAAAAAGTAATCTGACGAAAACTATGTGGTCGTAAATTGGAAACCTTTAACGGTATTTTCTATCATACTCATATAATGTACTTTCAAATTATTTTATTGAAAACGTTTGAGAACTATACATATATCCCCTTAAATAATAATTGAATTTTATTTCACCTTGAAAATAGCCGGTTCACTAATTAAAAGTAAAAATATTTTCTTAAAAATAAATTTATTAAATTGGGGAACAACAAGGATTCTTTACAGTCAGTTACTATATGTCATATCCTAGACAGTACAACACAAGATTCTATATAAATATCCTATAATAAGAGAGAAGTATTTCAACAATATTAATCACCTGTCAAATAAAACATGTCACATGTCATTAATCAACGATAATTAGTCATATTTCACATCTTTAATGAGTTGTGGAGATAATTTGCCTTGGTTAGATTATCCGCAAAATCTAAATTTAAAATGTGTGTGCTAGGAACACGAAAAATAACTAAAATCCAGTTGTAAGAGTTGGAAGAACTTGGTAGAAATTGGGAAGTAACCATGTTGTTGGATTTCTCTAAATATTTTGACAGAGATTGACCCAAGTTATTGAGGACACTCCGACATCTAGATGTTTTGCACTTAAAGCTTAGATGCCCAAAAACTATCTTGATAGACAAAAGCATAGTTTATAACAAATTTTGTCCTCAGGGTGGAATTCGTAATAGTTGTCATGCCAGGGAGTAGACATAAGATCACCTTTATTAGTCACCAACGACAATCTTCTTCTACCTGGCAATTTCCAACCTTTAGCCAGGGTCTGCCTTACATGTTATGAATAGTTTTGGTTAATTGTTTTTACGACCAGCCGCCCGCCTGAAATCAACCCTCTTTTGGGAAGGCATTAATCAGTAATGTCTAAATACTCTTAGAAAGTACATATGACTCGGAAAAATCACAATGGTACTTGCTAGGGCCAGGATCGGAAGTTACCAACGAAAATCTATAATAATAAATTGAACCAAAAAAAAACTGGATTTCCGTTGTCCTATCAGTGTTTGTTTTGCATGTTATATATTTAAAATCCAAGCGTAAAGCTTCAAACAGATTACCACCAACACAAATGGGAGTAATGTGATTTGCGCATTAATAAAATCAAATACATAACTTCTTCCTAAATCTAATTAATAACCAAGTTGATAAGAGTATGATCTCTAACTCGAACCAAGAAATTAAAAGTTTTACTGGGATAGGCACTAATTTGGAGATAATTGCCTGATTCAATTATAAATTACGTTTTAAGCATGTCATATTGGAAAGTGGTAGACTCATAGAATACAAACTTATTAAATAAAATAAACAAAAATTTACGAAGTTATCAGAATTCTGTTACCAGCTTTACTGATACTCGTTTAGTTTGATAAAAGTAATTTGTTAAATTAGGAACAACTTAAAAACTATGTTGTGATGACATGATATATATATGTAGATTGTTAAAAATATAAAAAAACTTTTTTTCTAACAGATAATTATTATATAGAAGACCATATACTTATTTGTAATCAGAAAATATCTATGTATAGAATAAAAAGCAAAACAATACTGTAAAAAAATAGGCACGTTACATGACTAATACGTTGAAATCTTTCTCAGCTTAATTTAATTTTTAATTAATTAATCTCATACATTTTAGTATATTAAAAGCTTAATACCGCTACGTGGCATAAAATTTATTTCATTATTCGCGCTACATTGTATCAATATTTTAGCTTTTAGTCATATTCCGATCAGCAAAAACGTATATTGAATGTATAGTTTTTTGCGAAACAAATTTCTAGTTATAATTACATTTTAGGTTCATTTTTACACCGGGCTTTAACTTTTAAACGGTTTGGCATTTTTTCTAAGATCAAATTTAGTAATTGAAATTTCACCCTCTGACAACCGATGGGTGCAAAATTTCGTAAAAGCCTTTGGTTACAGTAACAATACAATTATATATACTAAAATTTATTGTAAATTCACGATAGCAGGATATGCAATGAAAGCCACGATGCATAAAATGTATGGAATGAATGTCAAGCCTACATAGCTTAGTTGACGAAATCTTTCGAAGAATAACGCATCGAGAGGTTTGAAGATAATAAATTAACATTCAAGAAACCTGGCAATGATTCTGCCTTAAATAAATTTAATAAAATCAGAAATAAATACTTAAAACTTGAAAATAAACAAATATTAAAAAACCAAGTCTAACGGTTTTATTGTAAAATGCCAAAGTAAGTGTGCAGGTAAATCACCTTCGAGCCAAAAACATAATTAAATAAATACAGTCATAGGTACTTATATGTGTTTATTTTTACATTTTTGAAATAAACAAACTCATGGATTATTTAATTGGCAGAAATTACCCATTTCCCAAATATACCTGAAAATGAACTATATTAAAATTGAATTGAAGTATGTCGAAAAATGATATTTTTGAAATGTACGAATCATTGATAAGGCTAAAATAAAATCGTGGAGCACATCAAATATCTCCGAACATCCGTTAATTATACATTATCTGCAAAATATAACAGTGGCTATTTAAAATAAAGCTGTTGAACTTTATAATAAATACCTATTTTTAAACTGATAAATCCCTACTAATATTATATATGCGAAAGTAACTCTGTCTGTCTGTCTGTTACGCTTTCACGCCTAAACCACTAAACGGATTTTAATGAAATTTGGTACGGAGATAGAGTTGACTTTGAGAAAGAACATAGGATAGTTTTTATCCCAGACTTTGAAAAGTTCTCTTGGAAACGCGATATAACCGAACTCCACGCGGGCGAAGCTGCGAGCGGAAAGCTAGTAATACATAATTTAGCATCCCTTCTTTCCTTTAACAGTCTTCATTAAATAATTAATATTTACCTTAAATAAATCCTTTACAGATAGTTGAACTACTTTTAATATTAATAAAAGTTTAGTTTCATATATGACATATACAATATACAGGGTGACTGATGAATTACTATCGATACTTGAGGACGTGATATTTGACGATCATATATGACAAAATAAAAATTAATATAACATAAATATTAATAAACTTCTAAGTAAAGTTAACCAAAAGTTATGTAATTAATTACGCATCGTGTGAACACCCTACAGATTAGGTATACACACACTCACACATACGCGTGCGGCGGCGTGGTGTTGTATCAGCACGCCGCCGCACGCGTCCACACTTGGAACACTTGGAACGTGGCCACACTTTATTTATTCATACGGAAATTTGATCAAAAATTAAGTACCTATTTTTTTTACATAATTCGAATGAGAATCATGTACCGAGTATTCTCCTTAAATATTGATAGTAATTCACCAGTCACCCTGTATATGTTTATATGAAGTATACTTAAAGTGTCTTTTAAAAACCTTCGTAATTGATTACCGAAGTACTTAAAAGGGAATTTGAATTGTTCCAACATTGCATTATAGCTCCCAGTGATATATGGGTCTGTTTTAACTCGTATGTACTTAACAGGGTATTGTCAATTTATATATACAATTTACTTCTTTTATCAAATTTTTTGTAAAGAAAATATACTAAATGATTTAATATTTAAAATAAACATGATATTTCTTCTTGGGCGTTGAAACCAAAATCCTTTAATCACACTGTCTTCTCCTACTAATTCAAATTCACCTAGCTACCTTCAATTACAATGGCTACAGATGCACTGTTTTTGACGGGAACTTAAAGAGACTAAAAAACTCAGCTTAAACTAAACTTTAAATTACTCTAAAAATTGTCATTAACATAGCAATTTCAATATTATTCTGGATAACTGAAATGAAGTAAAATTAATTACTTTTCGAAATTTTCGATCTCTATTAACAGTAAAATTAAACTATATGTATTATTTTTTAATCATTATAAATCTTATGTTGAAAAGTATCAAAGTATTCATCTTTATTATTTCTTATAAACGAAGGATAACTATTTTTTGTGTAGAATATCGCATCTAAA